GCCCCCCCCGCCCCAGAAAGGGGGTGAGCGAAGCGGGGAGCGTCTGGCTGCTCCGGCAGCATCCTGCAGGGCACAGGGAGGGGTCTCCCACGCCAGCAGAGCTTTCCGACTGGCGCAGCCCACCTTGGGGTCCAAAGGCCGTCTGTCTGCTTTCCCTTCCTCCACGCAGCGCGAGGAAGGGCCATCGGGTCCTCCAAAACCCTCCCGTTCTGCCTCCTCCCGGCAGACCCCCCCCTGATCAGAGGGAAGCGACACGCGAAGCCATTTCTGGTCGTCCCAAGCCTCAGCGCAGGAGGTGGCAGATTTCTTTCGCGAGCGGACATTTTAAGAAGTGCTTTGTCCTTAGCGAGAGGCACAGCAGGGTGAGGAAGCACCCAAGGACTACAGCCCTGGGGTGCAACCTCAGCAGCGCTCCCAAACCCGGGTTTCCACTCGGGGAGACCTCACCCCAGCGCCAATCCTTTAACCCGCCCGAGCCTTTGGCGGGGAAGCCGTTTCCTTGGACCTCTTTGCCTAAATTCTTCAGGAAAGCAAAGACAGAGCAGTAATTTAAGCAGGAATATTCACGTCCCTCCGTATCTCAGAGGGTCACACGTGCCCAGAGCTCCTGAGCAATGCACAGGAGAACCACCAAGCACCCGCGTGCAGAGGCAGCAACAGCCCAGAGCTACCGTGAAGGACTCACCACTCAGAATAGGGTAGTTTCACGCTTTTATTCCACACCATAAAAAGCTACAGAGTTGTTGATGCATACCTGAACCCCTGCAGGCACCCAAGAAAGCCAAGAAGAGGATTGAAGGTGCTAACTCCAACGTCTTCTCCATGTTCGAGCAGGCCCAGATCCAGGAATTCAAAGAGGTAGGTGGGTTTGGGAGCAATGACCGGGGGTCCTTGCTGAGATGTGGCCTTCAGCTCTCTCCTCAGCGCTTTCAGATCGGTGGCAGCCGGTTTGCAACCAGAGGCAGCATGCCCGGATTTGAGTCATTTTATTTTAAAAGTGTGAATAACAACTCAGAATCACAGAATCACAGAATGGTAGGGGTTGGAAGGGACCTCTGTGGGTCATCTAGTCCAACCCCCTGCCCAAGCAGGGTCACCCAGAGCAGGCTGCACAGGACCTTGTCCAGGCGGGTCTGGAATATCTCCAGAGAA